AGAGAGTATTTTCCTTGAAGACTGAGTATCTCTTTTTTTTTCCATTTTTTTCCCTTCTGCCTCTTAGGGGATCTTGATGGACTTTGTCCCTTCTACTCCTCCAATGATCCCTTCCATCATAGTGCACTGTGTTAATGAGATCGAGCAGCGAGGGCTGCATGAGGTAAAAAGAGAATGAGGTGTGAAACGGTGCTAATGAAATGGGTTATGGTGTTAGGGAAACAAATTGTTAACCTGAATATCTCCTATTTATGGTGTATGTAGTGCTGCTTGGTGGGTGACTCTGTGAGTGAGCAACAGTGTAGAATGCTCAGGTGTGGAGAGAAAGTGGGAGTGGAAGGATGTCAGCTTTATACGTGCGGTTGATATTCTGCCTCTAAGCAATGCTTTCTGTTAACAGACAGGCCTTTACCGGATATCTGGCTGTGACAAGACAGTGAGGGAACTGAAAGAGAAGTTTCTTAGAGCAAAAAATATTCCTTTGCTCAGTAAAGTGGATGACATCCATGTTATCTGCAGCCTTCTCAAGGACTTTCTACGCAGCCTGAAAGAACCCCTTCTCACTTTTCGGTTAAACAAGACTTTTATGGAAGCTGCAGGTAAGGAGTTGCTAAACGACAAGGCTTGATGGTCACAGGTTTAGCTGTTGTGTGAACTGGCAGACCTCGGCGCTCTGTGGAACCCTCGTGCTTGCAACTGTGTTGATTGGTGCACGTTGTGCATGGGAAGATCTCTCTTCTGCCGTACCCTTTTGAAAGAGGAAAGAAACAAATTCTTGTGCTTGGGCGGGATACGAAATAATTGCAATGGCATGTGAAGTTTCTGTCTTCCTCGTTTCTCAGGCTAGCTATTGCTGTGAGGGGAATATTACAGCTGTGCCTCTGGGGCCTCTTGCTGAGGTCTAAACACTTTTTCTCCCCAGAAATCTTGGATGAGGACAACAGTGTTGCTGCTATGTACCAAGCAGTCGGTGAACTTCCTCAGGCCAATAGGGACACCTTGGCTTTCCTCATGATCCACCTGCAGAGGTACGTCCAAACGGACTTGTGGTTCTGAAAGGGGGATGTTGCCACTGGTGCTTTCTCTAACTGCTACTACTTGTGAGCATAAAGTCTTCATTCTAGAAAAAACGTGCTTATTCGGAGGCTGAAGTATGTGTGGGATGAGGGAGTTGTATGACAAGTGAAGGGGAGAAGCTACATTGTCTCTTTCTTAGGAATTTTTTTTAAATATAGGGTGGCTCAGAGCCCGGAGACTAAAATGGACATTGCCAACCTGGCCAAAGTCTTTGGGCCCACAATAGTTGCCCATGAGGTACCTGATCCTGACCCTGTGACGCTCCTGCAAGACACTAAGCGGCAACCCAAGGTAGGTCAGCCGAAAGGACTGACTTGGGTGAAGGTATCCCATTCAAAGAATTCAAATAAATTGCTGGGGGCAGCTGAGGCGATGCCTGTCTGGTGTCAGTTTGTCAAAGCTGTGTGCCGCTTTGTAACATCAGCTACTCACGGATGTCTCTGTAGGTACTGGAGCGACTTCTGCTGCTGCCTAGGGACTACTGGAGCCAGTTGATAATGATGGAGCAAGAAAACATTGACCCAGCGCACGTGATTGAGAATGTCAATGCCTACTCCACTCCACAGACACCAGAGGCTAAAGGTAACCCCTGAGTTCTGTTCTATTGGCTGTGCAGCTGCTGTATTAAATATAATGACCCTTAATCAAAGCTGTTTGGGAGACTGTTAGAGCTAGCCATTCCTGCACGCTTTGTGGAGGAAGAGGGAAGAAAGGCATCCCAGGAAATACCAGATTTCTCTAGTATTTTTGACAGATGCTAGGGAATATCTAATGTTCCTTGCATGGCAATGGAAGCTTCAGCTGTCCTCATGTTGCTCACTTTGCTGCCTCTTTTTTTTTTTTTTTGACAGTGAGCATGCTTGGACCACTCACTACTCCAGAACAGCAGCTCTCCAAGACACCATCGTCCACCTCCCTGTCCCAGAGGGTCCGGTCTACTTTCAGCAAAACCACCCCCAAGTAAGTGCCAATGGGCGTTGTCATGGAGATGTTGGGATGGCTGCAGGTGGTTTGGGTGTTTGAGGAGATCTAAAAAGAGACTTTTGGACTCAGTTTTGGCAGCAGCCTGGACTTACTACTCAGTCAACTCTCCCTTAATCAGTGCTGTAGTAACAGTACAAGCTGCCTAATGGTTTAACGAGCATTATCTTATGGTAGGGAGAAGAACACTTGGTTTGAGAGGTAGGTAAAATTTGGGTGAATGCCCCCTGGGAAAGGGAGGGTGTTAGATTTGTGATACAGAGGTCTAAAACTGGTATTTTTCTACTTCTCTTGAACTAGATTTGGGAGCAAAAGCAAGTCAACAACCCAGCTTGGGCATCAGGGTAACTTCTTTGCCTCTCCTATGCTGAAGTGAAGTGGACCTGGGAGTTAGTGTCGTCCTAGCATTTGCACACCAGTATGCGCAAGTCCTCTCCGCGGCCCTTGGCAGCTTATGTAAAAAGATCTTTTTCCTTTTATCTTTCAGCTTAACTGAGACTTTTAATGGGATTTTATTGTGCAATGTATTTTTATTATCTAACGCTGTACTGAATTTAGTATTGGTGAACAAAGTAACTAGCAGAACTTGTTCGAAGTGTTAATAATAATAAAAAAAAATGCTAGAGGAACTCACTGACACTTTTCAATAGCATCCAGTCTTCTACCTATATAAGTCGAACAGTCACACAAGGATTGTAAGTGTGGCTTTTTTTTTTTTTAAAACCCCATAGTTTGCTCTTCACACAGCAGTGACACACTGATTGAAGTTTTGTCAGAATCTGGTCTCTCGGAGAGCGCACAAGTCTGTAATTCTTGACTTGCGCTGCGCGCGTGCAGCCCGCAGCCCTGAGGATGGCAGTGTTGGATTTGTCTGAGGGACAAAAGATGCTCTGGTTAATTAACTGCTGGAAGAACTGTGACTTCTTTTCTAAAGAAATGTTTCCTGATACTGTGTTAGCAAGGGCAAAATTTTGTAGAGGACTATCTGTAGATGCAAACTCAAAGGATTCCTGGGTAGTCTAAACGAATTGCTAGTGCTGCTCATATTGGTGAGGGGAATGAGGGTAGTTTAATTGCACCCTTGCTTTTGGGAGTCCCTGCTTTCCTAAATTGAGATATCTGACCTTGCCCAGTGCTGTGTGAAAAGACTCGTGGAACATGTACAGAAGTTTTTTAAGTGGCTGTTTTTATTGAGCTCTGGAAAACTGCCCTGACCTGTGCAGTAAGTAAATCATGATTTACTATGTGACCTATGGTTCTGTACTCTGACTAATGCTTTTCATTTGTGCTATAGAGTTTCACGCAAGGCCTTTGTAGTGTTACAGGAGGCTGTGATGCTGTAATGCTGAGGGCGACGTGCTCTGAGTAGCTCCTGCCTCAAGGACTAATGAACCTGGCAGTCTCTGGTGCAGGATCGTGCACCGGGCTGTGGCTCGTGGGTCCGAAGAAAGGAGGAGAACAGTTTTGGTCCCAAATATTGTACCAGGAGGTGAAATAGCCTGGGCTGAACGTGGTGGCCTGGATTGTTTCTCTTCCTCTGCCCCTTGGTTGTGGGGTGTGGAGGATGAGGTCCTCTCCTGCCATGTTTGCACCCTAGCTCTGACTCACTGCAGGAGATGGGGCAGCTGGGGGCTGCTGCTCTCCAGCCCCAGGGCAGGTGTGTGTTTCTGGCCTCTGGTGTTTTCATGCACACCAGATGTGCATAAGGGGGACACCTTCCCCAAATCCTGTGTCTTGGACATGCTTGGCTTGGTCCTCTTCTGGAGCATCCTCTCCCAAACCCAAGTCCTTGCCTGTTCCTTCTCGGAGCGGAACTGGGGCTTTTGCAGTGAGACCTGCTGGGGAACATCTGCCCTGGTCCCCATGGCTCCACTCTGTAGGGACGGATGGGGCTTGGGGTCATCCTAGCAAGCACCCCCCCCTTGCTTACTGCCAGGCACCGTGCTTGGAAACATGGCCGCAATGCTGTAATGGGGGGGAGGTGTGCCCACCCGTCCCTGCAGGGAAGGACACAAGTTCCACAGCAGGATGTGCAAGTAGATAGGACTATGGCAGAGAAAGAGCTGTACCTAACGTGAGCCTGGGGGAAGGGGTAGTGAAAACTGTGAAGAAAGGGTGTATCTTTGGCAGTCCATCCTCTGGTTGCTTTAGGCTGCAAGGAAACACCAGAAATCGTGTGGAAAAGAATTTGAAGTATGTATTGATCAAAGAATATTAAAAGCTTTACTTTGACCCCAGAAACAGTGATGAATGCATTGTTCGTAGTGATTAAGTGGGTACTACTGCAAGAAAGCAACCCCCCCTGTTTTATGTTCAGGCAGGGGCATGCACGCGTATGCTTCAAAGGATTGATGCAGGTAGGAGCACAGAGTTGTGATTATTAATCAGCAGCTAGCTCTTGCTCCATCTGCATTTAATGTAATTGGACGAGCCAGGGACCACCTCTCTGTCCTGTGCACGAGTCCTTCACCCTTATCAAGACCTGCCCCCCCAGCAGTTAGTGATCTTATAGAGGAAATCACCTACTTATTTGTTGCAAATGATAGAATTCTGATAATTGAAGGGAGTTAACTTCTCATGCCGCTCTAATCAGCGCTTAGTTCTGATCTACAGCAAATCCAAGGGAGTGATGCAAGCCTACACCTACAAAGGATTGTGCTTGGACCCCGTAAGTCAAATTCCTCACCTTTGTTTTCACTCCCTCCTCTCGGAGAAGCAGGACTGAGGGCAGGTGTGCAAATTTTGGGCAGTCAGTTATCTACGGGTAGGCCTGTATTGAATGGCCAACCAAGGGGATGGTTCAGGAAGCTGACAGGACCCATATATATATATATATATATATAGTGATGGGCGTGCTGTTGGAGAGACAGACACTAGTCCTTGATGCCTTCTAGCTTTGCAAAAAAGGATACGCTGCTTTCTCTAGACTGGGGCTCCCTCCATCAGTCTAGATTGGTTCCAGAAAATTCTGTGGGCAGGTGGCGGTTGGTGTCTTGGATGAAGCGGTGGATAGCATCGGCATCGTCACTGTGGCAGTACCGAGTCATCTTTATCAGCCTCTGCGCGCACTCCTTCCTCTGTTCTGTCAGCACAGGAATCTTGTAACCATCCATAAACTTTGCTTTTGCTTCCTCCAATGATTTCTTCTTATAGAGGAAGAACTTTCCCCAATAGAGATTAAGGGCTTGATGGCCTTTGGGGCTCAGGGTGTCCTTTCGCTCCTGCAGCTCCTTGTAGATCTTCTCTTCCTGTGCTGGGTCTCTTGCACCATAGAACTCTGCTAATTGCAGCTTTACAAACACGAGGTCAAGGTCTGGATGTTTCTGAAGAATTTGCTTGAGGTCCTTGATGGCTGCCTCCAGTATATTATTCTTGTCTTCCTTCTTTGCGTTAAGCCACTGTACCTTATAGGACTTGGCCAAGGCTTGGTAGAGAAGGTGGTAACCTGGATCCTGCTGCAGGGCTCGCTGTAATATCTCAATTGCTCGTTCTGTAGACCGTCGCAGGCAGAACAAAGCTGAAGCTTTGAGGACATCGGGATCGGAGCTTTTCTCTGCACTTTCTTCTATCAAGCTAATTGATCTTTCTATATCCACTTGTTCAAGTAGCTTGGCTAAACGTATTTTGGCTCTGTAGTTACTTGGCTGCTCAAGGACAGTTCTTTCCAATTGGATTATGGCTTTCCTTGCAATATCAGGATACCAGAAGTAACTCCAGGAGGAATAAAGAGCCATTCCAAGCCCAGCATGGAAATATCTGTTCCCTGGTTCAAGCATCAATGCCACCTCGAAGCACTCTCTTGCCCGTTCCCCATTACGGGCTCTGATAGCCAAGAGGGACCAGCCTTTCTGGGCCTGGATGTACGGGACCAGCCGTGCATCCCAAGGGGCTGGGCAGAGCTGCTGAATTCTTTCCAGATAGCTTTCAGCCTCTTGATAAGAGGCCCGAAGGTAGTGAATCCAAGCGTAATTCCCATAGATAATCAAAGCACCAGCAGCAGATGTCTGCTGCTCATCTTTCCTCTCTTGCTCTTCAGCATCTTTAAGGCTTTGCAGAGCTTCTCTGGTCTGGCCTTTCAGCTGGTACAGGTATGCCTGCAGCCCCAGGAGTGCTGCCTGGTTTTGGTGGGGTGTGTGCTTGATTTCAACAGCCACCTTCTGCAGGACGTGTCTAGGTTCAACGTAGCCTATTACACGCAAATGCCAGGTGAAATGGCATTGAAGGGCATCCAACTTCTCCTTCAAAGAGGAAAACATGGGTTATGAAAAGGCAGCATGAGGAGCGCTGGGAGCCTGTGGTACCCACACAGAGCAGAAGGGAGCTCCTAGCTGTACGTGAAATAAAAAGGAGGAGAGAGGTGGAGGATGGGGCTCTCTGTACTTGCTCAACAGCTCCCTTGTGCTCAAGCTACTAAAGAACCCATAAATCTTTGTTCCAATCAGCCCATTTTCAGGGAACCATCTGGGAGGCTTCATTCCTGGCTTGCTGTTCGCCAAAGGGGAGTCACCAGGGCTGCTCTTTCTTCTTATTTAAGACAAAGGCCCTGGGATGGACTGCAAGAAATTGAAAGAGTAGAGCAAGCTAAAAGCACACAATGAAAACTTCTTTGCTGCCACTGGGGAGGAAATGGGGGCTCTGCCTTCACCTAGAGGGTGCAGCAAGAGATGGCTCAACAAAGAGAGAGAGAGTTCAACAAAGAGCCATGGAGATGTCGGGCTGGAGCATCTCTTATATGAGGAAAGGCTGAGACACCTGGGACTCTTCAGCCTAGAGAAGAGAAGGCTCAGAGGGTTCTTAGGAATGTGTATAAACACCTGAGGGGAGAGTGCAAAGACAACGGAGCCAGGGTTTTTTCAACGGTGCCCAGGGCCAGGACAGGAAGCCATGGGCACAAACTGAAACTCATGAGGCTCCATCTTGACATCAGGAAACTTTTCTTCTTTTAACTGTGAGGATGATAGAGCATGGCACAGGCTGCCCAGGGAGGCTGTGGAGTCTCCATCCTTGAAGATATTCAAAAGCCATCTGCATCTGGTCATGGGCAACCTACTCTAGGTGGCCTTGCTTGAGCAAGGGGCCAGACAAGGTGACCTCCACAGGTCTGTCCAACCCTAACCGTTCTGTGGTTCTGAACAAGGACACTGTGCTGAGCCTTGTCAACCCAAAACCTCTCCTTCTGGGAACTGCTACAAGAATGGATGCTGTGCACTTACCTCATTTTCGCTGTGGATGTAGCGTCGCCATCAGGGAACAATGGCTTGGCTTGCACCTCTTCCATACCGCAGCAGATACGCTGGGCAGCACAGTAAGTGCCGATCCTTAAATAGAGAAAGTATTTCCTTCTGGGCAGGCTCTGATTAAACAATTTGTCTTGAAGGAAGCAAAACTGAAAGAACAAAGCTTAAACCAGGAAAGAAAGTATTCTGGTCTCCCTGTCTTGAAGCTACTACCTTCCCTTCACAAAGTGGGACTGGGGTCTGGATAAACAAGAAAGGAAACCCAGTGGTCAGAGCAGCAGGGTCTGAACTCACCCCTGGAGACCTTCTCCCCCCTGAAAAGCACTTCGTTAGCATTAAAGCTTTCAGAAAGTAATAGGGCTAAGGTGACAGGAGAGAAGGATGCCGGGCTACTGAATGTAAATACAGCATTGCCTTTACTGCTAAAAGGCCAAAGGCTCCGTATGAGTCTGTACGACGTCGGCACTGGGGCTTGTCAGGCTGGTTTCGTCTTGATCTGTCCTGACCTGCCTGAAACTTTGCTGTAGTTAGTTTGTTTAGCCTGTTTACCTGTAACAGCAGCTTCCTAGCAACAAGGTGGCTGTTACCCAATTGATTTTTAGCAGTTGCGTTTGCATAGTTTTGTTTAACTGAGGTACAACGGCTGTGTCTCTGATAAATCCCAGGTATTTCCTTAAGGAGCAGGTAGTGCTGGCAGAGGGTCAGCGTGCAGTCATCGAGCACAGCACGGCCCCGAGGCTGATAGCAACTCATCAGCGACCCATGACTGGTCACTGAAGAACACAGTGTCGGCAGGTGGTAGAAACCGGTCTTGGAGGTAACAGAAAAAATATAGGTAAAGCACAGGGTACATAGTATATCTGCATGTAACATGGAATTGCAGCTCTCTGAAGGAAAGTTTCAAGTATAGAGAGTAGCAGAAAATACATTTAAAAAAACCAGCCCCAGTAGACCCTAAACTGAGGAGGAAGAAACCATCAACCGTATCATCATATTCCTCCCAGCAAAGAAGAAGAAATAAACCCCATCAATATCATTTCCCCCCCTCAGGATGCTGATGAGTCACTGCAGCAGTGCACAGGAACCAGGGAGAATTTATCTTTAGAGGAATAGGGCAGTTACTTTTGTCTACTGTGTTTATTTTTTTTTTCTATTACTGACAACATCTAATAGAAACTGAGTAGTTTGGATATTAGTTGTTAGCGCTGCTGTAACTGGATGAATGGTAAGTGATTGCTACATCTTGATTAGACTGAGGCATTAATTAGACTACCAACAAGTTCTCATTCTTGAATCCTCGTGTAAGCACCTTCTTTCTGTGCGCTTTGGCTTGCGCAAGCTGCATCTCCGTTGCCTGTCGTGGCCAGGATGGGGCTGTGTGAGCTGGGTGACCAACAGATGTTTTGACTCCCTGGGGCAGGGGCTGAGCTGGGCTGTGGGCAGCGCTGGCGGAACGGAGGAGAAATTCAGAGCTCAAGTCCCTCAGGCAGTGGTTCTTGGCTCTTTCTCCTGCTAATATTAGGACTGGTTTGAGGAAGATTATGGTTCTGTGAAATAGCTATTAATATCGTACAAAGGTTGGATGGAAGTCAAAAATAACAGCAAATGAGAAAGCTACTAACCACACAGCCAAACGGGAAGTACAGGCAAGGCTTGGTGTTGTGAAAGATAAACGGTGGGAAGGAAAAGCAAAAGAGCTGCAATAAGATGCAGAGGAGAAAAATACAAATAGCTTTGGAGGTAGCTTGAAAACAGTCCTTGGCTCCAAAACAGTTATGTTACAGCAAATAATGCTGATCGAATTCTCCGAGCTGATTGAAAGGAAATCCTGGTTTATTGGCCCAGACGTTTCCCGAGTTTGGAAAAACACCCGCCTGTTGTAAAGTTCCTCTGCTGCCTACTCAGGAACAGAGAGGGCTTGAACCAGCTTGGTACTCTAACCCCCTCCATGCTTTGGAAATGAATCTGCTTTTCTTCCTCTCAAGGCTCTTCCTTTACCCGCAGCAGCCTGCTGCTGTTACCGGGCAAGATTGTGTGTCTGAGCCCTGGCTTTCCTCCTCCTTTGTAATAGCTATTGTACTTGCCATAGTCTATGAGTAGAGACGTGGCGTGGTCTGTAGGAATAACTAACCTTTGTAAGACCGAATGGACTGATTAGGAAATGCAGGCTCAGAGTCCTTTATCAAGCAGGAAAAGGAAGAACAAAACCCCAGACTCTTAGCGTGATTCTTCTTGGGCACGGTGAAGGGGCTCTGAACCCCCAAAGTGGTCTGCAAGCTGGAGCAGGAAAGACAGAGCCTGGACATGCTGTTCTCCTGAAACAGTGCCTCTGGGGTTGGGACGTTTCAAGGAGATTCAGCTGAGTAGCAAAGGCCAGAACTAAAAATACGTTGAGGTGCAGCAGCAGGATTTCCCTGCCAAAGTTTGAGTGCTGGCTGCGTGTTCAGAATCTTTCCCTTGTTAATAGCATCTGACTTCCTTGTTGGCATCGAGGTACAGGTGAGGCTTCTATGAGTAAGAAGACAGGTAACAAAAAGCTTACCTGTTCACTTGCTCTTACGCTTTCTATTACAACTTCTCAGATCGTACTGACTTTAATACTCCAGGCTGTGCTGCTTGCAGTTCTGCACGTGAATGTATGCGCTCCTCCAGGGAAAGAAGGCGGCAAAAGCAGAGTCTTGCCGCTGTATCAGTACTTGCACAGAGGCGGTTGATTCCTAACTTTGCTGGTCACTGTGCAAATCCCTGGCCAAGGGCTACGCTGACAAAAGCCTGTGGTCTCCACCTGCTCAGAAGCTAGAGGATATGCAGAGGATTGCAGAATCTTTTACTAGACCAAAAGAGGTAACGTTTCTCCTAGACAAGGGCTTATATACTTCAACGATGCCTATTTTCTCCTAGCCTATATTGTAAGGCGATCGCTCCTAGCCCCGGACTTGGCTTCAGTAACCGGTACCGGCAGATGGCAGAGGATTTCCATCCCTGAGCTGTAAGACACAAGGTGGGGGGTCTGCATTGCCATTCTCCCTCCAGCCTGTGAATAAACAGCTATGCTTTTGCATCACTTCTAGATTTCTGCCTCGCAGCTGGATTATTTTTTAACAATATTCCAATTTCCCTCCCCGCCCCCTTATTTGGATGAAAAGACCTATATTTGGAAATGTGGCGGTTTCCCTTGGGTGTAAACAGGGAGGGAAGACAGAGCAGGACCTCTGAGAGCGTGAGCTCCCTGTGGAGGGCATTCGTCCTTCTTCACAACTGAGCCATGAAGAGCCCAGGAAAATGACTGGGCAGCAAGTTTAAAATGAAAAAGGAAATATTTTTCCATATAATGTATACTGAAACTGTGAGTATGTAAAAACATCCTCTGCTTCACCAAAATATTTGGCCCCCTTGTTTTCAAATGCACAACAGAGAACAGCCTCTCTGTGCGTGCCCCGATTATTACACTCGCCCAAATTACCCCGTAGTGGAAATTAGATCTATTGAATTCCTCCAGATAAAGGTGGCCTAGGCATTCTGCTTTGCTAGTACGTGACCATCGGGTGACGTGTAACCCCCAGAGACTGGATTTGCTGCCATGGGCTGACGCAGGGAGCTCTGTCTGGAGATGGCAGTGAATAGCTTCGCTCCAGACACACCTGCTTTTCCCTGAACCGGACAGGAGATCCGTACAAAACTGCGTCTTCTATAGCCTGCAGCAAGAGCTGGGCAGCTTCTCAAGCACGCACGGAGAGCAGAAAAAGGGAGCTGTTAAGCGTTTCAAAATCGTAGGCTGAAATACCTTCCTGAAGTGCCTATCTCTCCTGAATTAATCTATCTCCAAAAATACGAGGAGTCGACTGCCTGTTTACAGCTTGGTGAGCCAGTGAGGTCACCGCAAAGGCTTGATCAACAAGAGAAAAATAATTCTAGGGAAAAGAAAACAGATGATAGCGAGGGGTTCAGTTAACTGACCTCAAAAACACAGCCCTCTGTGTGCTGTCTACGTGACCGCCTCACCATCTCGCACGTACAAAGGGTACGTCTGCAAAGTGCTGGAAGATGCTCTGCAACCAACGAACTCCCCTGGCTCTTCAGGGAGGGCTTCTTATCTCCAAGAGCAAAGCCTTCCCTGCTATCAGCACTTAGAGAGACACTCAACTGTCTTCCAACTGCTCTGATGCGGCGATAAGCCCAGAGCATTTGCTACTCGGCGAGGCTGGGAAACTCCAAAGCGCCAGAGTCTGATCTAGGGCCGGCAGCTTGGTGGCGAAGAGCAGTAGAAACCCTGCCGTAAGCATGCGGGGTAGCTGGGATCCAGGGAGCTGTTAACGACTCCGTTTTGACCCACCTCATTCCCCTCAAGGGGCTGCAGCCTTCATGCCGCCTCCCAAGACCAGGCAGCGCAGAGGTACCTTGCAAGCGCAGGCGATAAAAGCCAAAAGTGGCTCTTACCGATGCAGCCCTTGTGCTGCGTGCGGTGCCTGGCGCTTAATTCAGGTGGCTCTTAACAGCAGCGGAGCAGAGGTTTTCCAGCGGTGGGAACGGCCAGGACCCGGTCGTATCATTCACAGGGGCTGAGGATGGTTCAGCTGGGAGCGTAGTAGGGGCACGGAGAGGGGACCCGGTTTGTTCTTTAGAAACGATGGATGAGGAGGTGGGAGAAGGACACGTGGGGAAGACAGCTGGCTGCAAGAGCTCAGAAAGAAACCCAAATCCTACACTTCTCAGAAGCCAAGGCATTGCAGAAATCTCAGTTCCTCTCTAGTCCTCGCTTTTCCCCAGCAATGACTGCCTGGGGCGGGGGACACAATGTTCCAGCCTTCTTTATTCCAAACCAACTATTTGTCTAATTCTGTATTTCTGACACTGGGTATGGGATCTCTCTTCTGCAGCTACGAGGGGGTCCCTCCTTGTTTTCTGGATTTGGAGTGTTTTGCAGGTCAGCGGAGGGAGGGGGACAGCAGAGCTGCCCAGGTCAGCAGCAGTGACTTGCGTCTGAGATGACCAGGACTTGCAGCCTTCCGTGTTGAGAGCGTTTGTGGCTGCCGAAGGAGGC